AGACACCAGTCAGTGTACAGATATCTCCCTGAGAGAGAGAGAGGGGATTGAGTTTAGAGGAGTGAGGAGTGACCTCATTGAGGTGTGTTAGTCACTGAAGCACGTGGATAAGATGGAAGGATATTCCTTCTTGTGGCAGAAGGATGGTGGGCACGGGTTTTACAACTCGGAGTCGCCCTTTCAGGACATTGACTCAAATGTGGTTTCTTCTCCCTGAAAGTTGAGCAACTTCAGTCATTCGGAGCCAAGGGTGTCGAATATTTTGGAGGGGTGTGGATTCTTGTCGAGTAGGGGAATTCAGGGTGACAGGGCCGCAAGGCAACAGGCAACTGGGAACACACACCATGAGCTTATTGAGTACTCCTTGTAAATTCTGTCACTTCACCACCTCGTCTCCTGTACCTCCCCTCCACCGACGGGCAGGAACGTGATGAGGGAGCTCCTAGAGGCCATTGACTATCTCCACAGCCGGGACATCGTCCACCGGGATGTGAAGACCGAGAATATCCTGCTGGATGAACAGGCCCACATCCGACTCTCTGACTTTGGCTTTGCCTGTCACCTCGGGCCGGGTGAGAAGCTCCGAGGTGGGTCCCGGGGCGCGCGAGAGTCCCCCCGCGGTAAATGAGCTGACAGTGGGGCTCAGGGTGGGGGTGCGGGGTGATCGGAGACCAGCGGAGAGAGCGCAGTGTGTCGGGAAGCTTGGTCAGACCAGCCCAGTGGGCGGTGGACAGGGATTGGTCTTCCCTTTGGTTTAAATATCCACTCCCTCTCTGTCTCCCTGCCCTCCTCCAGAACTCTGCGGGACCCCCGGTTACCTGGCTCCTGAGCTTCTCACCTGCTCCATGGACGAGACGCACCCAGGTTATGGCAAAGAGGTGGACGTGTGAGTACTCCCAATTCGAGCTGGGGAAGTTTGAGAGGGCAGGGAATAGCGCGTGATAGGCATCCTCTGGTTCAGAGCTCCCTGCGCTGACCCTCCCTGCAGTGTGGGGCGCCCTCCTGGCGCTGACCCTCCCTGCGGCGCGGGGCGCCCTCCCGGCGCTGACCCTCCCTGCGGCACGGGGCTCCCTCCCGGCGCTGACCCTCCCTGCGGCATGGGGCTCCCTCTTGTTGTGGGAATGTGTTGGCCGGGGTTATTGGAGCCGCTCGTTTATAAACATAATGACGGATAGCGGGGGAGAGAGAGAGAGATGCCTGTTGCTGAGGCACAATGCCCTCTGGGCTCCTCTCTAGCAAGCTGCATGTGCCACCCAGCCTGTTGGCTTTGGGCTGGGACGGTAGGGCACCCTGTGTGTCTGTTGCCCCATCGCGATCAGAGCTGCCCCCCTCTCCGTAAATTTCCTGGAGACGCTCTCATGATGAAGCAGCCTGGGGGTGGTGGGAGTGCAGGTACAGAAACGGGACTCGGTGTCTGATTCCATCTCTCTCTGTCCTTCCCCACCCCCTCCCCCCACAGCTGGTCCGCTGGGGTAGTCATGTACACCCTCCTGGCTGGTACTCCGCCCTTCTGGCACCGCAAACAGATGGTGATGCTGCACATGATCATGGAGGGCAAGTACCAGATGACCTCGAATGAATGGCAGGATCGGTCGGACACCGTCAAAGACCTGGTGGGTAACCAAGGGCCTTGACAATGTGTGGGGGACAGTGTAGACGGAGCTTTACTCTGTATCTAACCCCGTGCTGTCCCTGGGAGTGTTTGATGGGGGGCA